GAACAGGTTTAATATATCTAGAAAGCTGGAATAAGTGAAGAAGTTTTTTAATTAAAGCGATATCTAGTAGTGGAAACTTTGGGTATCACAGAAGGGGGTTGACTGATTCGGGTAATTAACAGGGCTACCGTTGATTAACACCCCTGTTGATAAACCACATAAATTCCACCGAATAAATTGTCGGCCTTCTGGGAAGATGATAATATTTCACCTGAGCGTCAGTCGTTTAGAAGTTGCACAGCCCATTTTTCACTACTATCCATCCACGGGAAATCTTGGCGGTGCCATTTTCTTTCATTATACAGCTATCATTGTTTGACCGAAATTACCTTTGATAGTCATATATTTTAATATATGCACTTACGTGCATCGTGAGATGTACGCGTTGTGCATAAATTATTAATAAATAAATCAGTTATTCTTAGAGCAAAATCAAAATATTCAATTTTCTATAAGAAAATTGAACTAAACTTATGTTACTATTAGTAACATGAGAAATATTCTCCTCTCATTGGTTAATAAAGTAATAAAAATGAAAATCTGTATCTCAGTGATACAGATGGATTGATTTACACACATCGGAAAAGTCTAGGGATATTTTTATAACATACTAAATATCATAAAAAATGCATGAGGTCGTTTAATTTCGATTAAATTGGTACACTCGACCACCCTGTAGATTTCTATGGGTTGAACAAAGCCTGCAAAAACGGTAACTAANTTGTCATCAACTATCTTAAGTTTGTGAAAATGCGCTTTATTGAGGGAATATTATATAACATATTTTTGTATTTCATCATCAGAACACATTCATCTTAAAAAATTAATTTTTCAGTTGGTTACTCCTTCAACTTTTCCTCTCCTTAAACGTTGGCATAATCGAAGATTCCGAAAAAAACAAGTTGTGTACGAGTTTCTCAAATCAGCTTGAAACCTTGGGAGAGTGGGAATGGGCAATATTTGTGCTGTTACACTTGGAGGACAACAATTTGAAGAAAAATTTGGTCTTGGGGATTCTGGATCGTAATTTGTCGCCTGACGTTGACAAGGCTACTGTGGCTGCCGAGAATGAGTTAGTCAACAGGATGCATTTACCTCCGGAATGGATACATACAGTCAAAGGCACCAAAACTTTACTTTCCCAAAGATACTTTGAAGCCTTTAATCACTTTGCACATGCCGGAGATCACTGCAAAGCAAATGATATCCTCATAGAGCACCTCTTACCCTGTCTTTTCATAAATGAACAGTATGACATCATCAAAATACTGATCAGCGCAATTGCAGAAGGAGCTGATGAAATCGCTCGCTGGAACAACGAGGCTGGGCTCTTTTCTGATTTTCTGGAGCTTCAGGAGAGATTCATTTCCTTCAGGGCTGAAGATATTCTGCAGCTCCAAGCGAGCCTCCAGTCGATCAGTGACAGAATAGCCAGTTTTCCAGTCAAAACGGATCAGCAAAAGTTGTGCGTTGCCGAGATGTCTAAAAGGTGTGCTTCGGTATATAGAGAGTTATGTGAGAAACCTTGCTCGAGCTTATTCAAAAAATCCTATTCAGACTTTATTGAATCGTTAGTTATGCCTCCAGATTACAAGCAAAACGAGGCCTTGAATCTGGTGAACAGACCTGAATGTTTTAGATGTTAAGTTTGTACAAGTTATTATGTATTGCAATAAGTGCCTGTTTTCTTGTGTATATATATCTTAGGTTGTATTTTGCATGAATTTTTTTGGTACTGTACGTTATCATTTAGAAGGAGTTTCTAGAATTATCGGTGACGATTTTTTTTTCATCGGCTAAAACTTTTTCACAAAGTTAAAGGCAATATTTAAGAATTTTGGTGATCTTTACCGCGTACATTACTGAAAAAATTAAATATAATTATCCATTAAAAAAATAGTTATTAGGTTCAAGATGGACTGTATTCATTATTATATTTATGCAATGTGAGTTATCTTTGTTTTATATATATACAATATGCCTCAATTCTTTGTTTTCTGTAACATTTTTAATATTTTGTATTGATGAAAAGATGGATGATTAAAAGTATTTTTGTGGAAGTAGCTTTTACAAATAAATGTCTTTTGTTTTAGTTTTATTTTTTATTTGTCTCCCAAATCTTTTCGATAGTGATTAAATTAGAAAATTGTGAAAACAAATGTATCTACAGACCTTGAAAACTGAAAATATAAAACCCATTCACAAAAATGATTTCTGGGTAAATTAGAACTATTTGCCTTGATTAATCCACCTTCCATCGTGAGAAAACCTTTCAGAATCGTATCAAAAGATAAGTTAATTCAAGGAAATTGTATGATTTAAAAGTGACCAAAATGAGTTTGAATACTATATTGAGAAGGTATTCTACTTGAATAATTTTAACATGGTCCTGCAGCTGGATGAATGAGAAACATCTGCGAGACTAACCTCTAAGGTATCTTGTATAAACGTCTCGGATATAATTCAATGTCCAGCGTGGTATTAGCCGAGAAAGTATGTCTATATACAAAGATACCGGCATTGAAACAATGCCGTCACATCAACTGATTTGAAACATGATAACGGTGATGCCAACTGCCCCTAAGCCTTTTTTTAAAACCCCCTAAATTCAAACCAAGATATCACACATTTTTTTAGTAAATGAGAAATCTAATTAAATATTCAAAGTTGCTCTAACAGTTAACAAGTTGATAGATTATCTTACCTTCATATTCTTATTATAACGAAGTTTTAAATAAAAAGGTTATTGCAAAATATTACATAAAATTTTTAAGACATGGTAACTTTTTTATTGCCTTTATGTGAGTATGTCAGTACACAATATCAACTAATAAAAAAATAAATACATCAAATCAACACACATATATGAGAATGAATACTTATACTATATTAATTCCCAATTCATTAATAATTTCGAAAAACTCATCTGCTTCCTGTTCTTCATTTGTGTCGATATCAGTTATTCATTTTCTCCCTGAAAAATACCCAAAAAAATTCCCACCCTAAAAATCCCCTTTTTTAAATTATCCTAAATTTAGGGGGAAACTCCCCAAGTTGGCATCACTGCATGATAATTCAAAACTGGCTTAGACTTTTCTAAAACTAGCATGAGGTTGGTTCTTCATTTTTTCCATTAATGGCTTCAGCTGCCAGAGCTATCCAGCCAGGAATTCCAGAATCTTGTTGTTACTACAGGTGGCCTGAAGTGGATCTGAGTCAGACCCGAACCCCACCTGGGTTTGCGCTAAAACAAAGTTCAACTGTATTTTGAAGTCAGTTAACAATCAATGACCGACTGCATTAGAAGTGCACTAATGTGAGGTGATGCACTACGGTTACGTGTATGGACACTACGATCAAGTCATGATTGGAGAAGCGCTGCATGCGCACAAGTTCGCTACAGCTTTACATTGGATGCAATCGGGAATTTGCATATGGTTTGTAAGTTAGATGGTGATATATGTTTGAAAAAGATATCGTGGACGGTAAGAGGCTGAATTGTTGAAGGAGGGATACTGAGAAAAGCATGAATTGTTAGGGCAGACAAAGAAAATATGTAGGAGAGTCTGTATTCCTCCTTCCTCCACATTCGCAGCGGTTGTCATCAACTATCTTAAGTTTGTGAAAATGCGCTTTATTGAGGGAATGATTGCTCCTAATTCTGCACATATTGACAATTTCTCTACGAGAACAGATCCTTGAATCATAGACTTTTGTAAGGTTGTGGTACAGAGGAAAAGTAAAGTTTGGCTTTGAATTGTCCGTCCCCGCTGTGTTGATTGGTCCAGTCTATCCAGATATTATGTATGAGGTTGGTTTTGAAACGGAATTTGACGTTATGTTACGTCAGTTGTCAGCAAAGAGTACACAAGCCCTAGTTGTGTACTCTGTGGTTGTCAGTTTCTGCATTATTGAGAGTAAAGAGTACACCAACGTTAGTTGGTGTACTCTTTGATTGAAAGGTGTTTTCTGGCATTTAATCGTATTCGAGCTTGTATTCAAAAACGATTCGTAGTGACGTAATCAATAATAAGATTCGAAAGAATAGAGTGATTTAATTTGAGTCAGATGTCAAATTCAATAATAACAAACTTTTCAATTTTCTCTAACCTCAATTAGAATTGGATTTGTGCAAGTAATAATTTTGCAGCTTCATTTTATACATCCTTACAACGTATTTGATGAAAAGTTTTCAGCACTTTATAAACTATAACGATCAAAATAAAGCAGAAACTGACGTAACGTTATGTCAAATTCCTTTTCAAAATCAACCTCACGCTGGTGTGATGAATACGAATACGTTTAAAATCATAGTTGATGTGACGTCATCGTTTCAACGCCAGAATGCGTCAGAAAACGCCTTTAGGAGAGGTCGAAATGGCAACACTGATAGTACTGCTTTCCGTTTCCGAGTTTGGCGTTCCACTAAATTCCACTTCAGTGTTTTTGTTTACGTTTCACAAACTTAATATCCACATAATTGGATGTATATAACTTTCTCACATTATTATCATTGATGATACTGACATATTGCTTCCGTGTTGAGACAAACGTTTTCAGCCAGTTGAGTGCATTTTCTTGTATGCTAATATTATGGAGTTTCATGTAAAGATTTTCGTGATCAAGTCAGTCGAATGCCTAACTGAAGTCACAGAAGACCCCAATGGGGGTCTTCTGTCTGTGACCTCATGAACTCATCTGCTTAAAAGTGGGTTGATTCTGATATGTTTTATGGTTGACAGTACTGCGAATAGCCCTGATATTTCATTGACAATATTTTCAGTAACTTACCTGATTTTTATTTAAATTGTTTTGTAAATCAATCAACTGTCTCAGATCACTACAGTCAAATATTAGATATAGAATATGATGTTGAGCCTCAAAAAATCACATTTGCGAAGAAACGGTTCTATAGTGAAAGTAATATTGTACAGTTTGTAAATTCATTAAACTCAGAAACCTGGGAAATGGTGTATGGCGCATTAGAGGTGAATTGTAAATATAAAATTTTTTATGATATTCTCTACTACAAATTTGACCTTGCTTTTCCTGAAAAACAAATTAAAGTCAAAACAAATGTTACTAACTGGGCTACGTCTGAAATAAAAAGATACTCCAAATATATTGGTGATCTGCATAGCTTATATAAAAAACGAAATGTCAAGCAATACTTATCAGATATAAACAGGCAAGGAAGGCATACAGAAAATATTTATCAAATCACAAAAAAGCGTTTCAATAGATTTTTCACCCAGTTCAGCAATGAATATAAGGTAGAAAATGATAACATATGCTATGTTAATGATAACATAGCATGCAACAAAACTACAATATTTCTCAGACCGGTGGATTGTCCAGAAATAGTCAATATATTAAATGATATGCAACCGAAATACTCATGCAGTGTGGATAGCATACCACCAGCAATATTGAAAATAATTAGATAGTACATATGCGAACCCTTAGCAAACATAATCAATGAAAGCCTATCAACTGGTACTTATCCAGATGATCTTAAAATAGCTAAAATAGTTCCAGTCTACAAGAAAGGTTGCAAGAATGCTATCCAGCCAGGAGTTCCAGGATCATGTTGTTACTACAGGTGGACTGAAGTGGATCTGAGTCAGACCCAAACCCCACCTGGGTTTGCGCTAAAACAAAGTTCAACTGTAATTTGAAGTCAGTTAACAATCAATGACCGACTGCACTAGAGGTGCACTAATGTGAGGTGATGCACTACGGTTATGTGTATGGAGACTACGATCAAGTCATGATTGGCGAAGCACTGCATGCGCACAAGTTCACCACAGCTTTATATTGGATGCAATCGGGAATTTGCATATTGTTTATGAGTTAGATGGTGATATATGTTTGAAAAAGATATCGTGGAAGATAGGAGGCTGAATTGTTGAAGGAGGGATACTGAGAAAAGCATGAATTGTTAGGGCAGACAAAGAATATATGTAGGAGAGTCTGTATTCCGTCACATTCGTAGCGGTTGTCATCAACTATCTTAAGTTTGTGAAGATGCGCTTTTTTGAGGGAATGATTGCTCCTAATTCTACACATATTGACAATTTCTCTACGAGAACAAGTTAGCCAGATCCTGGAATCATAGACTTTTGTAAGGTTGTGGTACAGAGGAAAAGTAAAGTTTGGCTTTGAATTGTCCGTCCCCGCTGTGTTGATTGATCCAGTCTATACAGATATTATGTATAAGGTTGGTTTCGAAACGGAATTAGACGTTATGTTACGTCAGTTGTCAGCAAAGAGTACACAAGCCCTAGTTGTGTACTCTGTGGTTGTCAGTTTCTGCTTTATTGAGAGTAAAGAGTACACCAACGTTAGTTGGTGTACTCTTTGATTGAGAGGTGTTTTCTGGCATTTTATCGTATTCGAGCTTGTATTCAAAAACGATTCGTAGTGACGTAATCAATAATAAGATTCGCCAGAATAGAGTGATTTAATTTGTGTCAGATGTCAAATTTAATAATAACAAACTTTTCAATTTTCTCTAACCTCAATTAGAATTGGATTTGTGCAAGTAATAATTTTGCAGCTTCATTTTGTACATCCTTACAACGTATTTGATGAAAAGTTTTCAGCACTTTATAAACTATAACGATCAAAATAAAGCAGAAACTGACGTAACGTAATGTCAAATTCCTTTTCAAAACCAACCTCACGCTGGTATGATGAATACGAATACGTTTAAAATCATATTTGATGTGACGTCATCGTTTCAACGCCAGAATGCGTCAGAAAACGCCTTTAGGAGAGGTCGAAATGGCAACACTGATAGTACTGCTTTCCGTTTCCGAGTTTGGCGTTCCACTAAATTCCACTTCAGTGTTTTTGTTTACGTTTCACAAACTCTGAATGATTTCTGTCAGCTTTCATTTCAGTTTAGTACGGACAAGCATTAATAGCGATTTTGTTGTATAAACAATTACAAACATGTCTATCGAATATTTGCAAGTAGCGGAGGATGAAAACGAAGAACCTATAGAACTACCTATTGAAGATGATGGGACCCTACTGCTTAGTACCTTAGCTGCACAATATCCCGGTGCTTCTGGCCTGAAATATAAAACTTCGGAAAGTAAATCATTTAGGGGCGTTCGACTGAGTGAAGGAAGACTTCATCCTCCTCCTGATGGAGGATGGGGCTCCGAAGTGTTTTATTGTGTTTTTCCCAAAGGTTCGTGAAATATCTCACTTTTATAAGTACTTTTCCAATAAAATATTAAAAACTAGCACAATACTGTTAGGAATGAATAGAATGGAATCTCGAATATTACTAGAGTTCTATCTCAACACCAAACCCTTATTTTAACTACCAAGTGATTATCTTCAATAGGAAGACTGAAGATGAATTTAATCTTTCTCTTGATGATGATCACTTGGTGATTGAAAAACATGTCTAGGTGTCGAAAGTAACGGTTTGGCGTTGCGATAGAACTCCAGTAATATTCATGACTACAGCAAAGGTTCCAAACAGTGCATCACAAGTACATAATGGAATCTCAACAAAAATATTGCTCTTTAAAATTGGTTGACTTCATATCATTTAATTTTATAAATATGACCAAGTTGACATAATATATAGTATAGTCGATTAAAAAAAATTCATGTATCATTCAGTTTCTAGCTTTCTGCTTTTTGTCCTGGACCCAATCATTATTTATAGATGTGCCCAATTTTGATATCAATAATATGAGGCATTTGGACAAGAGCGATTTTTCAAGCAACTAAAATTTTAAGTAACAAGTCAAAATTTGGTAGAGAAATCTGTAAAGTATATTCCTCCAAGAAATATCTCAAAGTCATGAAATAGCCTAGACTCCCAACGTTATATATTTTCCTTCATTGTTTAATCCAAAGAAAGTTGATAGTAAACGGTAAAATTCATGTTCTCGTAAGATCATTCTATCTACCTCTTTTTGTTGTTGCCTTACAGTTATGTGTTTGATAAAAGTGAACATTGTTACTCATTGGATATCTTGGACATGTACAAATTGGTCATGACCTACATTTTTTGTGCTAAACTAATATGCAAACATTATCTTAACAATTTATTTGTAGATGAGTTTTTTTTTGACTAGTCTGATAAGTTTCATACACACAGGTATTTATGTATGATGCTTTCTATAATCTTTAATTGATGAATAAATTCTATGATTATTATATTATTGAAAAAATAAAAAATGTACCGAACAATAGAAAGATATCAGTATATACCAACAAAATGTGTACTTATATACTTATATGAATATACCTTTTTCAAACAACATTATTTACATTTTTTTGGAAACCGATAGATTGAAAAACAGCATTTACCATTTATGAGAGTCCTTTCAATTTGAAACAGCTTTGTATATATCTTCCAAAACGTCAATAGATGAATCTGTGAAACTGATACTGAGAAGGTATAATGACCAGTATGTTAGGTTAGGTTTGAAGAGAGTTCCTCTGCAATCTGTGAGGGTTTATTGTGGCTATGATCAGTATGAGTTGAGCAGCCTATTGTGAAAGCCTACAATGTATGTGAAAATTTGGGAGAGTATCAGTTGTATTGTTGAGCATATAAATATTCAGTAAGCGAAATCATCGAGAGTACTGAAAATATGGAGTGTGTGTATGAGAAAAAATAAACTTCAGCATGATCGTAAAATCAGATAATCCTGTACAACTGGTTTTTCGTAAATTTTTTATTTTACCAACTTGAGAAAAGTTGAAATGAATATACACTGCCATCATATCTCATACAGGTGAAATATAAAAATTCAGAAAATTACCGGTGTCTGGATATCTGATAAGATCATCTAAACCTTAAGAGTGTGATTGTATTTTTCTGATATTTTAGAGAATAAGAGAAAGAGTGATGACAATCTGGAGAATTCGACTGCAAAAACTAAACGAATAGAAACTAACTTACGTTGTACAGATTTGATTGTGCTTGGTTTGCCTTGGAAAACGACTGAGCAGGAATTGCGAGAATATTTTGAAAAGTTTGGGGACGTATTGATGGTACAAGTGAAAAGAGATGTCAAAACGCAGGAATCTAAAGGATTTGGATTTATCAGGTTTGCATCGAATGAATCTCAGATAAGAGTTTTATCGCAGAGGCATATGATTGAAGGAAGGTGGTGTGATGTGAAACTTCCCAACTCGAAAGTAAGTATTTGTTATGCATAAAGGAAAGTAGATCTTGGTTTTTGTAACGTGAACTGTCAATACGTGTATGAAGTATGATTTCTTTCAAAAATTGTCTGTTGGTATAATTGCACTTTATTTGGTAAGCCGGAGCAGTTTCTAATATAAATTTCTTGAATTGTTTCAACATGTACTTTCAAATACATCGAGTGCCTGAACTATATTGAAAGTGTCCTCAGCATAATTCTTTTTATTTTCTCTCAATATTCATGTTGAATAATGTAAGATATTGACAAAATTTATCAGAAAAATTTATGTTTATGACAAAATGATGATGGAGGTGAAGGAAGGTTGTTGATATTTTGAATGGGTAAATTACTTTCTATGCTTCAATTGAAAATCATCTGTTCTGAACAAATAACTTTGTAAATTTCAGTATAAAACTAATGAAAAATGCCAGTGTGCAGATTTTTCACAAATTCAACAGCAGTAGCCTTGATAGTTTGTACTGGAACCTCTGGCATAAAATGAATCTATTGTTAACACTTTCTCAACACCACTACATGGTTGGAAATCATAATGAAGAAAAGATAATTGAAACTTTCTATGTTTTTTACCACTTTCATGTGTACATGCTCACTCTTCATTGCTTATTTGTAATTTTTTGGCCCAAAACAACACCGTATTCATATATCGGCCCCCGTATTCACCAGATTTGTCCCTCTGCGACTTTTTCCTGGCTCAAGGATATTCCAAAAAGTGCATATTAGAACTGTTTTGAGAATTGGAAAAACCGCGGGAACAAGTGTATTATTATATCTGAGGGGGACAAAAATAGAAATTGATGAATAATTTTTGAGAAAAGTGAAAATTCACCTTATTTTTTCAACAGGTCTCATATGTCCATTTAATGAGTTGGTAAATTATTCTTCTAGGAGTGAATTTTCCATTTTGTCTTTGAATATATTTTCATTCACTTACAAGTAAAATTCAACTTCTCATTTATAGGACGGAACAGTTCAACGAGCTCCCTGCAAAGTGTTTGTTGGAAGAGTTTCAGAGGATTTGACTGAAAAGGACTTCAGAGAATACTTTGGTCAATTCGGAGAAGTAACAGATGTTTTTATTCCAAGACCATTCAGGGCGTTCAGTTTTGTCACATTCTTGGACCCTGAAGTAGCCCAGTCACTTTGCGGAGAAGATCACATTATCAAAGGTAGGTTTGTACCTCTATTAATGCTTTATTGCTGATAAGTGAAGCCAGCCCACCCCTAGGGGATGAAATAGCTTTTTTAGAATTAATAAACAGTTTGAACACCTGGTTTGCAAGCTATCTTTGAGATAGAAATCAATATGTGAAAGTCGAGAGTTTCATATCTGAAATTTACGTCACCTCAGGAGTGCCACAAGGAAGCCACCTAGGCCCCTTCTTGTTTAATATTATCTTCAATGATATCGAAGGAATAATCAAACATTGAAAATTTTGTGGTTATGTATATAGTTGCATTTCTAAGATCATTCTTTGTTCTGGTGTTGTATACGTGATCCTTTTCATAGTTAATGAAAAGTTCTGATTTATTTTCTGTTACAAATACTACGGCTTCATATATATATAGAGATTTATCAAAGTTAAAATTTTGCTCCTAATAAAAGCTTCTCTGTAGCTATCGTTTTTTTTCACTGATACACCTGATACATTTTTTTTGTAGTATGAATATCCTAGGGACATTAACAGAGTTTCCCCAGTATATAATTCCATATTTTATCCTAGATTGAATATAAGCATGGTATGCAAGAGAGCAGCTTTGGTTGAGACATGTTCCGACAGTATTCTCGATGCATAGCAATATTTTGCAATATTTTTTGATAAGTAGTCTTTGTGATTTTCCAGTTCAGTCTCCTAATTATCAACAGTTCCAAAAAATTTACCTGATTGCATATGTTTATATTTTGATTATTATATTCAAAGGTATTCAACTCTGGCAAGGATCTATTTGCAAAATGAATTATTTGAGCTTTGTCAATATTAAGTAGTGGGTCATTCGCTGTTAGGGAATTTTTCAATACATCTAGCACATTTGTTGTCTTTGTCACTCAGTTAGGTGTTCTTTTATTTTACCTCTCTGGAATATATGCATTATTCTGACTCCCACCACGGAGTATGTGTTTTTTGATTTGTTTCCAGAGTGGACATCCTACTGAATCAACTACAAATAGAGATTATGACTAGTTGAACTTAATTTTGAAATGACCTGCCCGGTACTGACGAGGGGCAAGTACTCCGAAACCGTTCTACCGGTGGTCGTTCCGTCCAAGTTAAATTAATTTCTCTTTTCACATATAGGAAGTTACTTGTGACGAATCTTCCAAATTAAAGGTGTTGCACAGGTGCCTGATCGCTTTTGCTAGATAGATATATTTATTTGATCATGTTATGTATAAAATATATTTATGACAAGTCAGAAAAACAAATAGGTGCAAGGTACAAAGTTTTCTATAAAATGAAATAAACAGTAAAAATTTGTAACAAGTTTACAGGGTACATTATAACATATTATTCAAATTAAGTGTGGATGTTCGGCAAGCATCTCCCTTGCGTCAAAAGTGTGTCTACGCACATGCTCTAAATATTCTAAAGTGGAATAAAAACAGTTTTTTTTTAAATATTTTTTATAACTTTTTTAAAACAAAACATTCATATTTTTAATATTGGCAGGAAGGGCATTACACAATTTAAAATCATAGGAGTTTTTTTTGTGTGATTTCATCATAATCCCTAAAACCGATTCCAGCAAGAGTTCTCAGAGCTTTTTTCTGTAATATAAAAATGCATTGGGCATCACTAGAATTTCCCCAAAGTAGAATACCGTAAGAAATGTGAGACTGTATGAGCGAGCAAAATACTATTTTCAATGTAGTGTAATTTGTTATTGGTTTCAGCTGTCTGAGTAAAAATAAGGCACTCGATAGCTCACTTTTTAAACGTGAAATGTGGCTTGACCAATTTAGCCTATTGTCCATAGTAAAACCCAATAATTTGACACACTGGAATTCAGGTAATGGCAGAGCCATAGGAACAATCATGTTTTGTGATTTTTTCTTATTCATCTTGAGTTTGTTGACACTGAACCAGTGCTCCGCTTTTTCTTGTATTTCCATAGACTTATCAACAAGAGCTGAATAATTCATAGAAGAATATATCAAGGATGTATCGTCAGCAAACAGTTGACTGTGAAATGGCTTCATATATTTGTAAAAATCATTGATGTAAATAACGAACAAAAGCGGGCCCAAAACCGATCCCTGCGGTACACCTAGGTCAATCGGCCTCAGTTCAGAAAATGTATTGTTATAAAAAACTCTCTGGAAACGATTATTCAGGTAGGTTTCAATCAAACCCAAAGGCGTACCTCTTACACCATAATATGACAGTTTTTCGAGTAAAATGCTGTGGAAAACACAGTCAAAGGCCTTTGACAGGTCCAATAGTGTGACCCCCATAACCTTCCCGGTCTCAAGTCCCTCAACTATGCCTATGACAACACTCATAGTAGCATCGGTGGTAGAGCAATTTTCGCGTGTCTCTCAATTGAATCTTTCCTTGTTGGTTATCTAACTTCTGGTATACCATTTTCAAATTAAAAGGGCAAGGTTTTGAGGATCTTTGAGTGTATGGCCACTACATATTTTTGGTATTGTTTCATAGGAGTTTCGGTTCATGTATCCAATGCGGCTCCAAAGACGAGAGGCGGGAGTGGTCCCAGAAGCGAAAGGTTTGGTGGCGGCGGACAAAATCTGGGTGGCAATAACCAAAGTAGTTATGACGGTGGTATGTACAATCAGCGATACAACGGGCCCAATCAAGGTTTATGGGGCAGCCAAGGTGGCAGGGGGAATATTGATATGCCAAACATGCAAGCATTGGGTGAGTGGTTGAGTTCTTTGAAACCATTTATTTTATTCAAGATTTTTTCCAAACGGTTTTGGTAAGCTAAAAATTGAATCATTTACGAACTAGTTTGGGATAGAATCGATAAAAATATCTGGTCTGTTAGAGACAATTAAATTGCATACATTTATGGTACTTAGGTATAACAGGTCAAGGGCCTCAGGGCAACAACCAGAATAATCCGCTGGGTGTTGGTTTGAATGCGCTAGGTGTAGGTCCAGCTTTGGTAGCAGCACTGAATCAAGCCGGATGGGGCCTCATCAGCAATCTCCAGAACCAACCTGAACCTAATTTCAATCAAGGATACGGAAATGGTCCTGGAAATAAGCGTAAGTTCCATTTCAATTGCCTTAAAATTGACAATTAGAAGAATGTGTGAGCATTTTTTGTATTCATTATGTTGTCAGTTGTCACTCTTGGCAAAACCTTATTTGTTGAACGTACCTTATATGTATAAACACTATTGTGTTTATTAATTAAATATTCATCTATCTATCTGAGTGAAACCTACAGTGTATCTTTTTCTTTGTGGGAAAAAAATTCAAGAGTTTGAAACATTCTTTTCTCAAAATATTTTTCTGTTTATTCTACAGAAGGTGGCCAAGGTGGAGGGAGCGCTGCAAATCAGAGAATGACCAATACTGGGTATTCTAATTGGACAGGTCAAGGAGGTAGCGCTGGCCAAGGAGGCAGCGTAGGAGGTCTAAAAACTTATGAAGGGCATTGGTCTTCTAGGCCGCACCATTCAAATGATGATAAGGGATTCATGAAATATGATTGAAAGGTAAAATCATAGTTTGATTCGTAATATTTTTTTGAGGTTAGTTCCAGGCTTGTATTCAGTTTGAAATGTTTCTCTTCTCTTGTTCAGGTGATATTTCTGTTCTAATTGTTGCTTTTGCTATTATCTCATTATTTTTAAAAACAAATTTAATTGTAGGCTGAAGTATTCACCCTTTAATTTTGGAACCCTTTTCTAGCTTGTTTTTTTCGGTATCAATTATCCCACTGCTGACACCAAATGTTCCTTTTTGATATTATAAATTAGTTGTAAATCATGGTGGTTATCAAACAACAAAATCAAACAAAGAAAAGAAGAGGTTTTTTAAATTGTAACAAAATTTGAAATTCAATGTTATAGCAGTGTAGAAAATCAACTGATTTTTTCTTGCAAAAATTTAAATTTTTATAGCAAAAACACATTTTTCTTTTGATGGTTGTGTTCTAGCTTTATTTTATTGAACTTATTTCTATTTTTTTTTTCTTTCACCCACATTTTCACATCTCGTAATATCTAACAAATACTTAGTATTATGAGCATTTAGTATTATTTAATTTCAGATAATGAACCAGGATCACATGAAGAAAATGGTCGGTGTTCTAATTTATTTTTTTGTGAGAACAATTTCTCATATTTCATACCTAAAATCCTTGTACTAGAGTTCTAAAGTAATGAGTCAAAGATCAGTTTTGTATGAATACATATTTCTCGTGTTGGACCATTGATATGTACCTAGTTTTTAAGTCTTATGAAATGTATGAAAAGTACTGGTGTTGAGCGTGAATAAATCAGAATACATTAATTAACTTGTCTTTTTTTATAGCATATACTAATAACACTTTTTTTATTAATATCATATCATAACTGGTGACGAATAATGGGTACATGGTTATCACATCGAAACCAAAGTTCAAGGAGCCCAGGCATGCCAAAGTTCACTCATTTATCGAACAGACTTCGCACGTTATTTGTTTATCTAGAAGTGTGAAGAGAAAAAGGTAACAGAAGTCGTGCCGTGACTGGTTATTAAAAAAATAGCTATCACATGGAGTGGAAAACGATTCTATAAACTCCCTCAAACATTCTTGGGATGCTTGACACAGGTTCGACATGTTATTTACACCACAAAAACTGAGCACACTATAGAAACTGGTGTTTAAATCTCAACAATATGTCGGAGTGACTGTCTATATGCAACTTGTTGCTACAATTTTCCTAAATTGATGAGAATTTGCACCAACTTTGAACCTAACTCACAGGTTCGTGAGAATTTCTTGTTCACACGCTACAAATTGTCCGTAATGACAAAACGTTGCAGACAAGTCGCAAGTTTTGTCGTACCGTGTAAGCTCGCCGAAAAAAAATTACCACCAAAATGTGTAGAAACATTTTTCTCAAGAAATCGTATGTTTGAATGAAACTCGTTAAAAATATACAATCATTTTATTAAATATTATGACAAAACTTTCTGAAGACACCAACTAGGTTGTTGAAACGTGCATCAAGAAAAGTATATTGCAGTCCTGGTGTTTCAGAACAGTGCTTGGTTCAGTTCTACCTTTAATAAATGATTAAGAAAAAAACAATATACTGCAGAATAGAAAAATGTGTAACAAGTAAAGAGATCGTAATTGTGAACAATTCATATAACAAAAAATCAGAGCAAGTATCTAGTAGCGATCAAAAAGACTCTTCTTGAAGCACATAACTTTATTTCTCCAGCTTCAGCCACCTTGGTTAGCAAAACGCGCGTCGAGAGGCGGTATTTTGATTCTGGTGTGGAAAGTGTTTCCAAATTATCCAAAAGTATTTTGGTTCTGGCGGGGAAAGTGATTCCAATAGATTTTACGCCAAGCTCCCTTGCAATGACAGCAATCCTTTGAAATTTTAAAATAGAATTTGTGTGTTATAGTTCAATTGAAAGGGCTTTCAAACCTTAACCAACAATATTATATTTTTCTTGTCACTAGAACATGAAACACCTTATATCAAATTGGTGCCCCTTGTTTTTTGACAGTAATATAGGCTTTCTTTGCCGAATTTTTTGATAACCTTTTGTGTCCATTTTGAAATGATTCAGTATCCTGCTAAATTCCAGCTTTTCAAATATCTAACCTCAAAAAAGTAGTCAACCTGAATCAAATCAGGAGACACAGGCCAATAGTGCTGTACTTGTTTTGTTGTAACAAGCATTTGTTTTGTTGTAACAGGCACTTGTTATGTTGTAACAGGCACTTGTTTTGTTGTAACAGGCACTTATTTCAAAATTGTCCATGAGACTGACGTATAGAATCTTAATTTTTTTATCTGTGAACAAGTCATTATTTGGATAGGCTCATCAGATAAATTGATTTCAATGAATATTATCCATAACAAATAATGAAGAGTTCATTCTAACATCAATACTTTCATAGTAAAAATAATTTTTAGAAAACAGTTTATAAACATAAATATTCCAGAGTTTGAAACTTCTCTGCTTTCGGTGTAAAGATTTAAAAATTGTGTTACGACTCTAGTATACTTGATAAATAATTTGAGAGATTTTTACAATCTGAGCTTGAATCCACAACAATATTGGAAAAACAGCAAAAAATATCAACAGTGAATATAACAATTGAAAGAGGAATCAAAAGAAATCCTCTATTGCTTTCATTACAAATATATCTCTTAAGCATATTTCAATAGCACTTTGTGAGATTTTCATTTGACAGTTTATAAAACTACAATATGTGTTTCACTATTTAATAGCGTCTTCAGGCACGTAAATACGAAGAAAATTAGTTCCAACATTTTGCTACTTATATATTATAATAATTTGAATGACTTTTTACTATTAGTAAAAGTCATTATGATCAAAATTATTATAATAATAATAATTTTTATTATCCTGTAAGACAATCAAAAAGGTACATTGTGTAGGATTAGTCAGAAAAGATCTTGAGTTTAAAACTAAAAATAAGACAATTTACTAAGAGTAACACATTCATTGAATTTTTCATTTTATTATTCAATCATTTCCTGAAGGGAGTAATAGGTTTTCTCTAGTAGGTAAGACTTAAGTGTAATTTTGAAGCAGTGGATACCAGAGTTTTTCAGTTCAAGTGGTAGCAGATTAAATAATTTGAGCCCTATTACATTGGGGGAATTGTAAGTCAGTGCATTTTTACAATATGGCATATGAAAGTCTGTCTTGCTTGCACCTGGTATCAATAGAATGCACATTTTCATTTCTTATGAAACACCTATATAAAAACACATAATTCGAATATATGCAGGCATGGCAAAGTTAGTATTTCAAAATTGCTTTTACACCTTGTATTTCTTGAGACTCCTGCTATACATCTGTGCATGAAGAGGAAGCTCCCCAGAAAGTAATACCATACCGAAGACGCGATTCAACTTGAGCATGATACAGCATAATCAGCTGTTTCTGGTCTATTACCAAGGTTTCTCAGAAAATAATTCATGGAGTTTAATTTTGATATAACTGTTCCGCAATGAGTTTTCCAGCTGAGAAATTCATCCAAGTGTACCCCTAAAAACTTCACTGTAGAGCACGGAGAAATTTCATCATCTTCAATTCTCAAGTTGAAACTGGCTATTTCTTTTTGTCTAGCATGAAATCTTATCAAAAGTGTTTTTTGATTATTCAAATGTAGGGAATTTTCCTTGAACCAGGTGTTTGATTTTTGCAGGATTAAATTACCTTTGGTTTGTAGATTTTAATCTATTTTATCTAATATGATGTGTCATCTGCATATGGTGTAAAATGAGCATATGTAGAGATGGATTCCATATTATTTAATTTTTTTTCCGATTGATTCGGCCATTACTTGATGAAGATCCATAGTATTTCAAAAACTGTTTGTGGAAATCAAATCGTGAGGTGTAGTTTTTGAAATTATTTACACATAATAAAAAAAGTATAGGGCCCAACACTGATCCCTGAGGGACACCAACATTAATATCCACATAACTGGATGTATATAACTTTCTCACATCATTATTATTCCTTGCTCCCGTGTTGAGACTGAGATTGATTTAGTTAGTACTGAAGACGCTTGAACAAGCTATTGTACACCGAAACACATTTCGTTGTTTTGTAAACTGTTACTTCAATCTTTTGTAGAACTTTATATCGAATATAAATTAAGAAAAGTACTTTTGTCTAATTTCTACTAAGTTCATTATTTGTTACGAGCAGTTTCGGTTTTATTATACTATTTTAAAGTAACTTGAAAAGTTAATAACTTGAAAATGGTCAAATAAACCGAAACCAGTCGTACTGAATAATAAACTTAGCAGACATTATACAAAAGTTATTTTCTTCATTTTATATGTTATTTCATTACGTTATAATGAGTTTTCATTAAGTATCTGAAGTATTCCAAAAATCAGAAAACAACATCAATGTACGCGTCAGGATCATCTGTCTCTGGTTCAATCTTGACATCATCTTCAACAGTACCTTCAACGTCAACAAAAATCTCCTCTTTGATCTGCAAAACAATTATACAAGTCATTTATGCTATGACGTTTGTGACTGACCAACTTTTTTGTGAAAATATTTGCAATAATTAAAATTCCAAAAAGGTTTTCAAAATTATCCTTATACAAATAGAAACTATTCTCAACTACCTGCTTTTGATATAGCTTGAGAAAATATCTGTATTATTTTTGCTGAAAACTACCAACCTCTCTCCTCTCCTTGAAGGTACTTCCGCAAGACTCTGAAGTGGAATGCAAGTGTTCCACCAAAGCTGCTTTGTTGCAAAATGTCTGGCCACACAAATCACAAACTTCTTTGGTCCTATGAGAATTTTGCATGTGAACCTTTGCGTTATATTTGGTGGAAAATACTTTATTACAATATTTGCAGGACACGTTTTCAGATCCTAAGTGCATATTCAGGTGCTGACTGAGGTTATGTTTCTGTCGGAATTGTTTTTGACATAGTTTACAGGTGTAAGGGTTAACTTGAGTGTGTACCCTGAAATGCCTCCTGAGACATTCCAAGTCTCTGAACATTTTGTGACATATTTTGCAACTTCGAGGTTTCACATGTCCTAAAATGTGTTTACGAAGATCTTGGATATCGTTTACTTCTTTATTGCAAGTGTAGCAGACAAAAGGTCCTATGTTCACTTTACTGTGGTAACTTGGATCTCTGATTTTCATTTTGCATCCTAAGCATCCTTTGGAATTCATAGGAACATTTCTCTCAATTTTCTTTGATTTTCTAAGAGGGGACTTTTTAGGATTTTCTTCCTCAATTTTGGTGGTCTCTACTTCAACAATATTCATCTTCTCGGGTTCTAAGGAACAATAATACAACTATTCAAATGAGATGACAAATATATTTTCTTGATGAACTAGTAATCTCACACTAACACAATAATCTAAAAAATACCTTTCAAAGGGAATGGGTATAGCGAAGGGGAATTCGAGCAGGCCATATGACCCAGAAGAGATAAGGCAAAAAAAAACTCCAGCATAATAATCTTTTAATTTCTATTAGATGATGCTATGTGTAAAAATGCTGAAATTCAAATTGTCTTACCTTTATTATTATTGTTATTTTCTTTCATTTTCTCGAGAATATTTTTACTGCTTTTGAACATTCGAAGATCAACTTTAGAGGTAGCATTATTCGAATATTTCAAAAGCTTTTCTTCATTTTTTATGCATTCCAATTTGAATTTGAATGAAGCTTTAAGCGCAGTAATACAATTATCACATATAACAGGATCCACAACGAGAAATATATCCTGAAATGAATTATATCAACATAATATTCAGTGAGTTCTTATGTATTCATACAAGTTCAGGAATAGAGTAACTAAGCATTTCTAATATATCTGAATTGTCGTTTTCTACAATTGGCGAAATATTTTTACAATTTTCTGGTGGTTTAATTTTCAAACATGTTCGACAAATATCGATGGAATTACTCATTTTTGAATGAACTTTGAAAAAATTATAAACACAAAACAAAATAAGTCAAATTACAAACAACAAATGATACTGACGGAAGACGATGACAGAAGGGTATGACGTTTTTTTACAGTGTTGTCATACCAAAAATAGAGTGCAGTCCAGGCTGAAGATGTGTTCCGAAAGTAACCAGGATTGTAGTTTTGTAGTATTTCTGAAAAACCGGTTAGATATGAAACACAGTTTCCTTGATACTAATGAACCAAACGTCGAAATATTCTGAAAAGAAAACTCAATAAAATTATTTTGTTTTTGGTCATTATTATATTCTAGTGATTAGGCGTTTCCAAACAAGGCTTGAAGGACTACAATTCAACTGACGCTTCATAAATTTCAGTTTCAAGAATCCCTTGTCAAAGTGGTGCGAATCAGACCTAAAATCTTCATAACCAACTTATTTTTTTAGGAAACTCCTATCATCGAAATATCCAGTGATAATTCTTGAATTATGAAGGCACAACATCTTACTACTACTTCTGTAGTGTTTGCTGCTCATGAAAATATAGTTTTAGACAGCTAGTTTATTTTTTTCGTATTGTACATGTGAATACACTAGCTAATTTTTCGCAACTCTTTTGATTTTCACTCTTCAATATTGTATAATATACCCTCTCTTTTCTCAGATGACTACATAAGAGCACTATCTGAATACTTAGGCGATGTATCAACTGCATTAAGTTCTTCATCTGAGATAGGGGAAGACGTGAAAAAATTATTTGTACCAAATTGCCAATAAACAGAACAAAAGACATCAAGGTGAGGAAGACATTCTTTTCGATTAATGCCCGTATGCACCGTGTACACTTAATCGGGATTAAAGGTTTAATCTAGATAAATGCTTTAATTTACCATGCACCGTACTAAAAGTCGGGCTTAAGCTTTCGAAAATCTAATCCTCCGTTTTTCATGGATTAAACTTGGATTAGTCTGTAGAAACGATTTTTCTAACCTAAAAATAAAAGTGTTTATATTATTTTGCGTTCTTTCTCTTACAAAAAACTTTTTCTTTTCTCAGATGACTACATAAGAGCACTATCTGAATACTTAGGCGATGTATCAACTGCATTAAGTTCTTCATCTGAGATAGAGGAAGACGTGAAAAAATTATTTGTACCAAATTGCCAATAAACAGAACAAAAGACATCAAGGTGAGGAAGACATTCTTTTCGATTAACTAAACTTGTTCAGACGGTGAGTGGCTAGGTGCTGGAACTGGATGACGGGACCGCTATGTGACCTGTGCTCTCGACTGCACTGAGCATTGACAAGTCATAATTGTTTTCCATGAAATTTTAAACATAAAAAATGCAAAACGAATTAATTAAAAACCCACCTGTTGCAAAATTGTAGGTCCCTGTCTCTGTGAATTCTCCTTAACGTGGGTTTTCACTGTTCCTTTAATGTTTAGTGTAGAATTTTTACCGTGGGGTGTTTTTTTAAGCATATGACGCTTTAAATTTGTCACGGAAGATTTGAAGGAAATAACCTGCTTCCAAATTTCACATGTTGCTAGTTGCAGTTGTTTCCCTGTGATTGAAAAGAAATTCCAAATAGGGCTCGATCTTTCATTCATTTTACATTAAAATTCAGCCTGTTACTAAAACTCTATAACAACAAGACGAATGGAAGGAAAGTACGGAAATTCAGAACCACTCGGAACCGAACGCTAAAAAGTGACCATGACGCAAGATGAGACGTCATTTAAGGATAGGTGAACATGAACAGTTAAAAAGAACAGGTTTTCGATAAGAACTGGAACAGTTCGAACAAGTTCTTCAAATTTAACTGTTCAGTGCCATCTCTAGCCAGAAGTCACAAACTAAACGACAATCGATGCAAACTCACGAGTAAGCCGAGTACCCGAGTGTAAACAATCGATTACGTCGCCAGTGGCCATTTTGTTTTTTTAAAGTATTAAAAAAACTGGCGTGGGTATTAGTTGCTACATCACTTAAATAACTGTGCGATTGAATATTTCAATATTCGGCGGTTCTTGAGAAAAGTGCCGTGAAGGAATTTAAAAAATGTCAATTGAATACTTGCAAGTTGCCGAGGAAGAAGGAGAAGAACCAATAGAATTACCCAGTGAAGATGATGGAACTCTGTTACTTAGTACATTATCCGCTCAATTTCCAGGGGCTTCTGGGTTGAAGTATAAGGCCCCCGAAAGCAAAACCTTTAGAGGCGTGCGACTAACTGAAGGAAGACTTCATCCTCCTCCAGATAGCGGATGGGGCACATACGTATATTATTGTGTTTTTCCTAAAGGTATAGTTTTATTCAGCTCAAGCAGCAAGTAGTGTACTTGTATTTGAATGTGACAGATGGTTGACAGGAAATAATCAACCTTTGGACACGTTTTTCAAAATCAACTGTTGGTATTTGGATGTAAATCGATTGACATCTAACCATTTGTGAATTCTTCGGCGGGTTTATGCAAGAAAAGTAACTAATTTTATAGTGGGTGCATTCAACACAACAAGATTAAGAACTGAGACCACAACAAATCAAAGAGAATGTTTACGTAAACTTGACTAAAGGTGAATTTATGCACACCCGATTAACAAGTAACAAATTTTAATTAGCAAGGAGCAAGTAACAAAAACGATGGCATTCATGAATTCCCAATTGAAAAGTCAATAAAATAGTATGCAAGTGCTACTGGAAAAAAGAATTATGTAATATCGACTAGGGTATATCTATTATTGTGTATTTTTCAACACAACATCAGTTTTCATTTTAGCGATTATAGAAACTAATTATTTAGGAAATGGAACTAAACAGAACCCAGACTTTGGAATATAAAGAAAATTAGGTTAGGATATTCCCCATTTCTACTGTTCCAACCAGCCCCAAATCTCGGTGTTGATGTTTTGTGTTTTCTTACCCTTTAGCAAGATAATTGTTATAAAAGTTATTGGGGTGAAAGTTCTAGAATTGTCTGTAATAAATGAATTATTGATAATGAGCCCAAACTTACCATTATCCACAAGTATAAAATTATCCACAATAATAGACGTATATCCCTTTGAGTGTGATTGTATTTTTCTGATATTTTAGAGAATAAGAGAAAGAGTGATGACAATCTGGAGAATTCGACTGCAAAAACTAAACGAATGGAAACTAAGTTACGTTGTACAGATTTGATAGTACTTGGTTTGCCATGGAAAACGACTGAACAGAATTTGAGGGAATATTTTGAGACATTTGGGGAAGTGTTGATGGCACAAGTAAAGAAAGATGTCAAAACACAGCAGTCCAAAGGATTTGGATTTATCAGGTTTGGATCGTATGAATCTCAGATGAGAGTTTTAGCGCAAAGGCATATGATTGATGGAAGGTGGTGTGATGTGAAAGTTCCAAACTCTAAAGTAAGTACTGGCTTTGTCCAGGTGAGCGTGTAAATCTGCAGTGTCTGTAAATAACTGTGTTTTGGCAACTTGACATTGCCTTATTGGTGAAACAAATTATGTATAGGAATGTAAGCTTTCATGGCTGGCGTCATTGTTTTGTTGGTTTTCGGGTTTCGCCGTGGTCTTCTTTGGTTACAATCTCCAAGAAGAATACTTGGACCACGTCACTGAAGATGACCGTTGCAGTTGAAACGTTTGGAGATTATAGCCAAAGTCAGATAAGTGAGATATTTGTTTTTGCGATCCTCGTGAGGCAGTATAGACATAAATCAATTCCTCAAATGCACTGCTTTATACAACTACAAAAGTGAAACCTATAAAGAAGAGATTATCAGACCTAGGAAACCGCTTTGCCAAAAATCAAACTAACTTGGAAACCCTACAGGCATTATGTAGGAAAAAAGTTAAAGGACAACCAAATTCAAATACCCGGAAAAAACTATTTGGGAAAACATCAAATCACTCTCATAATTTTTTTTTGTCAGAAATATAATGTACCTCAAATCTATTGTGTAAGCATATGTTTGTATTCAAATGATGTTCATGTTAGATGTTTAAACAAAGATTCATTTGGTTTGTTATTAAATCGTTTAGATTTACATCCTTTTATATTTAAAAAGACCTGGAGAACATTTGTATTTTAGATGATTGTTCACGTTTAATGTTTTGGACAAAGATTTCATGCCTTGCACGGATTCATTTTCTTGTGTTTTTTTTTCTGTTTTAGCCATTTTCTGATTGGTAGAATCGAGACAGGTCATGTAATAGTACAAATAAAACATTATTAGTATTATAAAGAAGACCATGGCAAAATCCGGAAACCAACCAAAACAAATTATTTGTATTGTAAACACTGATATTATCTTGCTTTCTAAGCAAGTTTATTTTTGATAATCTCTACTAGTATTTTACAGACAGCTGACACTTCAACTGAATTGAATGAATTTAATGAAAATACCTTGCTTATTTTGGATCAAATTTAGGAATGTTTGTATCCGTGATGGTATATGTCACAAAAGTTAACTCGTAAACTTCCAGGTTTAATGCAAGTTAACTGTTGTAATTCTCTACCAGTTTGACTAGATAAATGAATATGTTTTCTGATATAAAATATTTGATTGAGGAGTGCCGTTTCAAAAGTTTTTGTTTATCTTCAAAATTTACAGTATGCACGGGTATAAATCTTACAAATCATTTCAATTGATTAAAATAATGAATGTGCTCCTAGTCTAGAATGAAAAATGTATGAGGTAAATAATAAACTTTTCTCCCAAAGTTTCGTGAATATGAATTTTAGGTGTTGAGTAAAGAGTAATTGAAATAAACCTTTCTGGAATGTTTGGACTAGTATATGGACTAGTATAATTAATAAGTTATTTTCTTGCTCAGTTTGTTGGGATGATCTGACTAAACGTGGACAAGAATTGAATGAATAAATGACTAGTATTTTTAATAGTTCTAACAACTACAAGAAATTATATATAAAAATGAGCAGCTATTTATAAAAATGTGCGATATGTAGCATATGTAATATTGTGTACTTTAAGACACACCTGAGAGTATTAGGGTTAAACCAAATATTTCAAAATCTTCATAATAGGGCAGAATCCAGAAGAATATGAGTGAAATTTCCTAATACAACATCCCTCGACTGACTAGTACTAACTAGAGTTGAATAAAAATCATGTAGAGTAATTCATATGAATTAAAAAAGTATCCATCATTTGCAGATCGTATTATTGTAGCTGAACTATCAGTAAACAGTAATCCGGACAGAAAATACGAACAGAGGCTACCCGTCTATGCGATCGTGATTGTACATCGAGTCCTCTTTTTAATATTGATATAATGATGATCATTGAAATCCAATTTGAAAGCACAGCACCTCAAAAACTCTTTTCGACATTTATTTCTAAACTAAAATACTCAAAATGAATGTAGAGGCACATCCTTAAAATCCAATAAGTGAAAAAAATATGTATTATTTCATGATAAAAACTTCTGATCTGTACTTTATACTAATTCTTATCATGTTCCATTCGGTTGTTGTTTCCTTTTTTTACTTCTTTTTGTACTTTTAGCTACAAAATCATTGGACATGTCTCTATTCATTTTGAGTAGTTTATAATAAAATTATTGCATTTATACCTATTTTAAAGTAGTAGTACACTTATGCCCGCGTTTTTTCCAATCCTCAAAGCAGTTCTGATGGTCATCCTTGAGCTCTCTCATGGGTCTCTTCAATCTCGGGAACGGGAAGAGGTCGCAGGGGGGCGAATCTGGTCAATACGATGGCTGAAACGTGATTATTGTGATGCAAAAACTATGAATTATTTTTCCACGATACAGTGCGTTTTCTTCATATTGCTTCTCGCAAGCAACGCATAACTTCAACCTTATTGAACACTACCTCCATGTGGCAAGAAATACTGATGCACTACGCCAAGGTAATCGAAGAAAACAGTGAGAGAAACCTTGACATTTTATCGAACTTGGGTGCTTTTTTGGTCTTGGTTCTCCATTGAGACAATTGAACTTTGATCTCGATGTCATAATCATATACCCATGATTAGTCACCAGTTATGAGTAAATTTGGATCGTCGTTGATTTTATTCAACAATTCCTGAGCGATGCTAATGCGACGGTTTTTTTGTTCAAAATGCACAAATTGCTGCCAAAGATTTAAATTTGTGTAATGGGGAATGTTAGTCCTGACGAAAATCAAGTAGTTTTCATGAAAGAGCTCTAAAACAACGCATTTTAAACTTATCATTTCAACCTTGAAAAAGTTATTTAAATACTTAAAAAAGAGGATGAAATAATGCATTCAACATTTAAAGGTATTCGTTTCTATTTCACCACTTGGCAACATTGGTTATAGCTGATAAAGAACAATGAATCTGTTACCTGTATGAGACAAAGATGACATATTTCAGAGGCGTGCTGTTCTGTTTACTTATGTTCCGAGTTCCGAGACATTCTGTGATCAACAAAAAATACTTCATTTTATTTAATGTGCTTGGAATATTAAAGTATGATTACGGTATTATCTATTAATTTTTGCTTCAACATATCTTCGTTCATTCCTCAAACATCAAATGTTACACTTTATAATAGTTCAGACACGGACTAGTCGTGTAACCGACAATCGTATATATCTGATGACGTCACACTAATTATCGACGAAGGTCCAGATCAAAATCGCGTTTCTTCATAATGGTAGATGCTATCGATTGGAAATTTTCACCATTATACTCTGGATATATAATATAATCAGATTTGACTGAAAATAAATGAACCGTGTGAATTCCTCAGTTAATTCAGGAATTTATAGTTCAAAAAATGTATAGATGTGATGATGCTTCAATAATTTATATTTTATTTAACTTGCAGGAAGGTTTTATTCAACAAGTACCTTGCAAAGTTTTCATTGGAAGATGTACAGAAGATTTAACTGCGGACGACCTCAAGGATTACTTTGGCAAGTACGGGGAGGTAACGGACGTGTTCATACCGAAACCATTCAGGGCTTTCAGTTTCGTCACGTTCTTGGATCCTGAAGTAGCTCAGTCTCTTTGCGGAGAAGATCATATTATCAAAGGTGGGTTGATTTATTTCTGTACTAATAATGATTTTATGAAAATGATTTGTGTTCCACAAATTTATTAGAGAGAAAGTAAGACTTTATGAAATATGGAAAATACTATAATTATTACTATTTGCGGTGGATGGTCGAATTGACCTAACTATTGGCCAACATGCTGATTGCCATATACATTGAAAGTTTTCCTGTATTTTGAGTGAGGCTGTTGAGGTTGGATTATCAGATTTCACTTGAAATGAGTGAATTACAAAGTTTTGGTTAAGTTAGTATTCTTCAGCGATTCAAAGAATGTCACTGACCCTTTTAAATTAATTATTGTTATTATCAGCTTCACCTGTATGTATGCATGTATGTTTGTTTGTAACTCTCAATTGATCTATTCGCGGGCAGATGGCGCTGTACGTAAACTCCTTGATATATCGACATTATTGCATGATTAATGGAAAAACAGATGGCGCTGTTAGTAACTTCCTTGATTTAATTCGAACTCATTTTACATGTATTTATTCATTTGAAAAAAGTATTTTTTTTTATAAACGCGCGCGCCTGCTGTCTTATTTGTAACCCCCTTTTTGCGCGCTGATTCTCAGGCTTCCTCTCCGAAATCAGAAAATATCAGTAGTCATTTTTCTAAACAATATACAACTGATTGATTCCAAAATGTAGATGAAATAAATATAGTTTAAAAAGACTTAAAATGTTTGTTCTTAAAGTTTAAAAAGTTTTTTGACTCTAGAGTTTTGTCTGTATCCAATATGTCACCGAACTTGTTATAGCATTCAACTCCTATGTGTTTGGGAGCATGTTATGCAATTTCTAAGCGTGAAAAAGGTTGGCGAATGTTTAATTTGTTTCGTGTATTATAAGAGTGTAAATCAGCGTTTTTTTTTTAATGTTTGATTATTTTCTTTGACATTATAAGTTGCAGAATATATAAACTTGATAGTGTTAGAATATTTTCTTTTTTAAAAACCTCTTTACACAATGATGTTGGGGTCATTTTGTGCATGGCTCGTAATATTCGTTTCTGTACTGTGAAAACTCTATTGATATGTGTTGATGAACCCCAAAATATTGAGCAATAGTGAATAGTTGACTGCACCAATCCATAATATACAAGCTTTAATACATGGGATGATACTGTGTCTCTTATATTTCGGATTACATAACACAGAGGACTTAGTTTTGTGGTTACTGTGTTCATGTGCGTTTCCCAAGTGAGCTTTGGATCTAATGTTACCCCCAGGAATTTCATTTTATCAGTGACTTCAATAGATTTGTTGTCAATATGTAAATGAGGATTGAAATCAAATGGCATATTTTTTGGTATTAATCGCATATATCTCGTCTTTTCTGCATTCAATGTTAGGCCATTTTCTTGACACTATTTAATAAATTCAGCGGATGCTTTGTTGCAGTTCTCAATGGGTTGTTGATACTGAGGATGTGTTAGTATAAAATTTGTGTCATCTGCATATAATAATACTTTAATAGTATTATTCGTTCGTTATTGTTCTAAGTTTATTAAAAAAATATATTATTTGGAATATATTGTTTGGAACACATTTCACAAACTCTATTGTGAATACACTGAAAAATGCGATAACTATGACATCTGACAATGATAGTGTTGAAGTAGTCAATCATGCCTCTATGTTTTTTCACCCCTACAGTGAACACGAAGTTATTACTATTATATCAAATCTCAAAAATAAGACTTCAGTTGGTCTAGATGAAATACCTGTAAAATTAATAAAGGATTGCAAATATATTTTAGCACCTCATCTCACCCAAATAATCAACCTTTCTCTACTCACAGGCCAATTCCCAGATCTATTAAAAATTTCGAAGACAATACCAGTCTTCAAAAAAGGGGACGAGGGCCTAATTGAAAATTACAGGGCAATTACACTGGTTAGTCCCATCTCCAAAGTCATCGAAAAAGCTGCATATACCTCTTTTTTAGATAAATACGAAATCTTGCTTAAGTGTCAACATGGTTTTAGAAAAAGCCAATCCACCGAAACGGCTACGACAGAATTCACACAGTACATATACGAAAAACTAGAACAAAATTATTTCGTGTTAGGAATTCTCTTTGACCTATCACGTGCATTCGATACACTGAATCCGCGGATATTGTCTTATAAACTCAACTCGCTGGGCATACGAGGCTCGCTGAGCGACTGGGTCATTTCATATGTTACTAATCGCCAGCTCGTAGTACAGGCAGAAAATGTAATATCAGAAAAATTTAGCATAGAATTGGGTACACCGCAAGGAAGTATCCTTGGCCCGCTACTATTCATCTTGTATGTCAATGATCTGCCTTTACACATAAGTAGGGGAGAGACATTCATGTATGCAGATGATACCTCAATAGTGGTGCATGGCAAAACGCCAGAAGAAGCAAATAACAGGGCCCTTACAGTCATACATGAATTTCATGAATGGTGCCAAAGAAATCAACTTTTATTCGACTCAACTCTGAACTACAACATTATGTCATGGGGAAATAGCACAGAAATGGAAAGACCTTTTGTAATACAAAAAAGGATAATTCGTGTAATATTTGATCTTCCCTATAACGAATCATGCCGAGATACTTTCATACGGAACACCATCCCTACATTAACTAGTATATATCTCATGAAAATCTTAATGTATGTCAAAACAAACATCAATTACTTTGAGAAAGTCGGAAATATTTCAAAGTATGCCACTAGAAATTCTAAAAATTTGTGACCAGGCAGGGTTAATCACGCATTCTTTAAAAAAACTGGAATCTACAGAGGATGTTCTTATTTCAACTTGCTTCCTCACAATATCAAATGTTCGTCCGTAATAATCTTCAAAAAAGAACTGTGAAAGATTATGAACAAGGGTTGCTTCCACAATATACAAGAATTTGAAAATTATTTAAAAACTGTAAATAGTAGTACATAACCAATAAATAAACCTTGTTAGCATAATTAGTGGGTATAATTGTTTAACTGCACTCTAGTTTTGTGTAAGGTCAGTTGGTATATTGTAATGTTATCTGGACCTGTGTCTTAATTGTGATTTTCAGTTATACATAACTCACATCTGTGTATACTAACACACAAACAGTGTATCGGTGTACACAGTGTATTAGTATATACATGGATTTTATCTCCAGTATACCTACTAAGTTTGTATCTGTTGTATGCTATTTAATTGTACACAATTCATATTCTATGTAATTTCCATAAACTTACCTTGGTTTATATCCTTGTCGACGTTCACAATCCATGTCTATGGAAGATGTGTTTAGTATATATACCTTATACATTTTACATTTTATTTTATGTATTTCTGACTTACCTAATCCATGTAATAGTGGCAATGAAGGAGAAAATAAATATCTATCTATTAACTTTTTAGTTCGATGTTCTTTAAAAGCGTGTTTTTTAGTTTTTTAAACTATCTTTATTTTTTAATGTAAAAAGATTAAACAGTGGGTTGTTTGGAGTGTAATATTTTCCAATCTTCATAGGTCTCAAGCCACACTTTTGAAGACATATGAAAGTCTGGCTTCGTGTATGCCAATTTCAAAGAGGCACCAAACTTTCCTGGCCTCCAAAATGGAATGTGTTGAGTGTTTTTTTGGAACAAGTTTCAATGCCTTGTTCAGTCTGATGAACAAGCTGTTTGTAATTATTATAAGAAACATTCGTCTGCAGTTTTTCAGCCGTGTTCGTTTCTTTGAGAGATTGTTCTTTTTATGTCTCTCTTTGATTATTTGCAGTCTTGTTGATTCTTGTTGTTGGCTCAGAAAGCAGTAATCATTTCTTTTTTATTTCAGGAGTTTCGGTGCATGTGTCTAATGCAGCTCCCAAATCCGATACTAGGGGCGGCGGTGGTCCTAGGGGTGAAAGGGGGGGAGGTGGTGGTAGTGGCTATGGCAGCCAAAACCGTGGAGGGCTTTCTCAAGGTGGCCCTGATGGTGGCATGTACAACCAGAGATACAATGGTCCTGGACCTAACCAAGGCGGATGGGGAAATCAAGGGGGCCCACGAGGAAATATTGACATGCCAAATTTACAGACGTTAGGTGAGTGATAGGCATTTGAAAGACATTTTAATGAAAATCTTTTTCTTGATGGAGATATATTTATTAAAAGTGAAATACAGTATATTCGCTGAGAATGCGTCTGTAAACTATAAAACTTAATTTAAGTGACGATACGATAAGAAAAAGCATGGGATTTTGCGCTAGAATCGGCATAGTGCATTTACTTATGGGATTACAAAATGCCTTGAAGTGTATTAGACTTTTTATTCATCTTCTGACTCTCGAACAATACAGAATATTTTGTTGATGGTGTTGTTGGACTGAGCAGATGTATGTCTAGAATTTGGCATGTAGAGTAGGTATTTTCTGATCTATAGAGCACTATATCTCTTAAAAAGGTTATTTTCCAACACTGTTTCTATAACATTGAGAAATATATTGACGTGGCAGGGTCTTTAACTTGTGAAAGACCTCAATAAAGCACCATTTTATTGATTTAATATTTGTGCTTTCAATTAACCTACACTCTACTTTTATTATTTTTTAGTAAATGATTTTATCTTCGTAACTCTGAACAACGGTTTCTGTATTCGTGACTTGCCATAAATGTACTAATGTAAGACTTACGGACTCCCCCTAAAAAAATGCAGTGTATAGTTATTAATTAATTTTGATTAAATAGGGGTTTGCAATGGTTTCTAATATTTGCCTTGCAGATGTATTTTTCTGCCTTTTTTGTAAAACAAATACTGACCGTAGCAATTGTTTGCTACAAAATTCCCAGGTGGCGACATTATATGTGTGGAGCTACTGGAATAAGTGTATCTAAATTGAAAAATGTGGTCGAACTCGACAAGAGTGGTTTGAACTGAACTCCATGGATTTACTTGAAGCAACCAAATGGGGATTGCTTCTCCTGACGAAAATTAAGTTAGTTTTCATAAAAGAGCTCTAAAACAACGCATTTGAAACTTATTATTTCAACCTCGTTCTTTAAAAAAGTATTTGAATACTTAAAAAAGAGGAATGAAATAATGCATTCAACATTTAAAGGGATTCGTTTCTATTTCACCATTTTGATTCTAACGTGACGTTTCCGTACAGTTCAACTTCTCACTCCTGCCTCCTTCCTGAATAATCCGAATTGCGAAACCATCAAACCCTTGAAAGCTGCAGGTAAACTTTCCAACTCCCTTAAAAGTATCCGCTTCCAAAAGTGATTGTTTTTAGGATATAGTGAAAAGGATGGATGGATGTGGAAATGATTCTTGTCGAAGAACTTTTTTGTGAGTAGTTCTTGTGTGTTATTTTCTTTTTGTTAACTTGAATGTGTCGTTTATTTTCTAAATAAATTTCTGGAATCAAAATTGTGTTTTGATTGATTGTTTTGGTAGTCAATAGTTGAAGAAATACCTATTGAATAAGTTGCTAAATTCTTTGTCGAACTATTTTATGAGTTGGTTTTTGTACAGGAGGGAACGAAATCGAAATGGGGCCGAATGTTACAGGTTCAGATTCGCATTGCCTAAAAAAGTGTTGACAGATTTTAAATCTGTCATGAAATATTAAGAAAACTAAAATTAACAATACCAAAACATTTGAAAGAGGTAGTTAAAAAGATGACATAATTGAAAAATGAGAGACAATGAATGAATAAACTGTGCACGTGAAATTCAGAGTCATAAGAATGTTAATTTGTAGAAAACAAATTATTGTGTCCTGAAACAAAAAAGAATTTATGGCTTAAGATAAAAATCTGTTGAAATCTGTTTTTCCGTTAACCAGCCTCTCATGAACGACAACCCTCAGAAGGCGAGCTGAGGATAACGTGATCTTACCTTTTAACGTGCGATTCTTATCACGTAATAAAAGATGCCAATTATTTGCAATCGATGAAGATATTGATTCATTCATTGATGATAACACCTAATTACATATTATGTAAACAGATCAGAAAGGTAAGTAAAGCTTTGTTGCACATCCACTGAAATTTTCAAGTAGTTCGAGTCAAACACGTCCTCAGACTACCATTATTTTGTTCTTCAAAGCTTGAAGTAATTATTGAGTGGAAATTGGAAACTGCAGACATCCTTTTCCCACGTCCTCGCTTAATTGCCGATATTAACCTCTCCGATGGTTTCCTTCCAAACAAATCACACTGCATACATTTATGCTACTTAGGTATAACAGGTCAAGGACAGCAGGGTAGTAACCAAGGTAACTGCAATCCGCTTGGTCTCGGATTGAACGCTTTGAGTGCTCTTCCTATGAATCCCGCTTTGGTAGCAGCCGCCCTCAATCAAGCAGGATGGGGTCTGATTGGTAATTTACAAAACCAGGCCGAACCTAATTTCAACCAAGGATTTGGCAATGGTCCCAGTAACAGTAACCGTAAGTTGAAATAGTAGTTTAGAACTGATTTTTTTCTGAGGTTTTCTTTTGAATTTTGATTCTTCTTTGTATAAACACTAGCAGACCCGGCCACGCGTTGCTGTGGCTAAGGATTTGTTATATTACATTGTACTATGCATTAAGAGGAACGCTAGGAGAACATCAGTCACGGGGACCATCATGCTTTTTTACATAGATGCCATTTGTATAAAAATATGGCGACCTCCATGACAGATTTTCTACTACCGTAATCCTTTAGTACAATGAAATTATTATTTACGAACGAAGACGTTAAAGCTGGTATAAAAATCCACTGGATTGGGATTTGAAGGAGAAGGACTTTGAACACGATTGATTAAAATTTTCGTACAGTTGATATTAAGTAAAAATCAATACAAAAGAATTAATTTTGAAATTTATTGTTATTTTTATTCAATTTTGAACAAATGAGTATATTACAAAGTTGTTAGTAAATAACATGTGACACTATGAATGAGTCCTAAATCTTTAACAATAATATTTATTATTTTGAATTATAAATACTTTTAATTTC